ACGAAGCCACGTCGAAATCGGAGCACTACAACACCCCTTTGAATAGAGGCGAAATTCTTATCATGATTTCGGAACGAGCGGCCCCTAAAACTTCATCATACCAATTTTCAACGAAATCAGAGAACCTTTAGGATTTCCGTAACATTTCCGTCCGCCATATTGGTTCAGCCAAAAATTTCGAAATTTGGATCACGGTTACGAAATGAGCGACCCCAAAAACCCCTGGATACGAAGCCACGTCGAAATCGGAGCACTACAACACCCCTTTGAATAGAGGCGAAATTCTTATCACGATTTTGGAACGAGTGATCCCTAAAACCTCATAATACCAATTTTTACCGAAATCGGAGAACATTTAAGAATTCGGTAATATTTCCGTACGCCAAATTAGTTCAGCCATGTTGAAAATCGAAATTTTTGTCAAGATTACGGAACGAGCCTAAAACCACACGAAACCAATTTTCGCCGAAACCAGGGACCATTTAAGATTTCAGTAACATTTCGGTCCGCCATATTGGTTCAACCATTTTGAATTACGAAATTTTGATCACAATTTCGGAACGAACAGCCCCTAAAACCTCACGATACCATTTTCCATCAAAAACGGAGAACCTTTAGAATTACCGTAACATTCCCAACGAACGAGTCTAAAACCACACGAAACCAATTTTCGCCGAAACCAGGGACCATTTAAGATTTCAGTAACTTTCCCGCCCGCCATATTGGTTCAGCCAATTTGAATTTCGAGATTTTGGTCATCGAAAACGGAGAACCTTTAGAATTACCGTAACATTCCCAACGAACGAGTCTAAAACCACACGAAACCAATTTTCGCCGAAACCAGGGACCATTTAAGATTACAGTAACATTTCCGCCCGCCATATTGGTTCAGCCATTTTGAATTTCGAAATTTTGATCACAATTTCGGAACGAGCGACCCCTAAAACCTCACGAGACAAATTTTCATCGAAAACGGAGAACCTTAGGGATTTCGATAACATTTCTGTCCGCCATATTGGTTCAGCCATTTTGAAGTTCCAAATTTTGATCACGGTTACGAAATGAGCGGCCCCTAAAACCTCATCATACCAATTTTCAACGAGATCGGAGAACCTTTATGATTTCTGTAACATTTCCGTCCGCCATATAGGTTCAGCCATTTTGAATTTCGAGATTTTGGTCATCGAAAACATTTTAGGATTACCGTAACATTCCCAACGAACGAGCCTAAAACCACATGAAACCAATTTTCGCCGAAACCAGGGACCATTAAAGATTACAATAACATTTCCGTCCGCCATATTGGTTCAGCCATTTTGAATTTCGAAATTTTGATCACAATTTCGGAACGAGCGACCCCTAAAACCTCACGACACAAATTTTCATCGGAAACGGAGAACCTTAAGGATTTCGGTAACATTTCCACCCGCCATATTGGTTCAGCCATTTTGAATTTCGAAATTTTGATCACAATTTCGGAACGAGCGACCCCTAAAACCTCACGACACAAATTTTCATCGGAAACGGAGAACCTTAAGGATTTCGGTAACATTTCCACCCGCCATATTGGTTCAGCCATTTTGAATTTCGAAATTTTGATCACAATTTCGGAACGAGCGACCCCTAAAACCTCACGACACAAATTTTCATCGGAAACGGAGAACCTTAAGGATTTCGGTAACATTTCCACCCGCCATATTGGTTCAGCCATTTTGAATTTCGAAATTTTGATCACAATTTCGGAACGAGCGACCCCTAAAACCTCACGACACAAATTTTCATCGGAAACGGAGAACCTTAAGGATTTCGGTAACATTTCCACCCGCCATATTGGTTCAGCCATTTTGAAGTTCGAAATTTTGATCACGGTTACGAAATGAGCGGCCCCTAAAACCTCATCATACCAATTTTCAACGAATTCGGAGAACCTTTATAATTTCCGTAACATTTCCGTCCGCCATATTGGTTCAGCCATTTTGAAGTTCGAGATTTTGGTCATCGAAAACGGAGAACCTTTAGGATTACCGTAACATTCCCAACGAACGAGCCTAAAACCACACGAAACCAATTTTCGCCGAAACCAGGGACCATTTAAGATTTCAGTAACATTTCCGTCCGCCATATTGG